TATTGAAGAGCATGCAAGAGGATACCGCGGCGGCGGGCGCTGGTATGCGACGGAGTTCAAGGCAGTTCTCTAAGCAGAGGGTACTCGGCCATAGTTTTCCAAACTGGCCCCATGCGAGTTGGAGTAAGCGTATAGACGTAAACGAAGACTATAAACTAATCAGGTGTATGGAGCACGGTGGAAATCTCATTAAAACACTGAAAATTATTTTTGAGTCTAACCAGGGCACAATGTCTTCATAATTGAATGATAAGCAATAACGTGTTAACTCACAAAAACTCCAAAAAGGAGATATTAATGCCAAATCGCTGCTTGTCGTCTGGTCTTTATTTTACCAACATAAGCTGATTTGGTACCTCTTTTTGCGTGTCAGCATCCAATTTTATGTATTTTAGTCAAGTGTTTTTTATTTTCCGATCGTGTCAAAAACTTGCACCACGCATTTTGAATTAGTCAAATGTTGATGGCGTTTACGTAGTTGCTATTTAATGGAGTTTAATCGATTTGGCCATAGTCCAGATAAAACATACACGTTGCAAATTAACGCATAAGAGGCTGAATTACCTAAAAACCTAAAATATTTTCATACCGCCTGATATATATACGTTCAACAATAAATCACTACTACACTTTCTTCGATGAAAATTGATGCAATTATTTCCAGAAGCTACTGTTTAAATTACATTATACTATCAAAGTGTGTCTGGTTTGAATTAGCAATACAATTATCTATTCTCCGTCTGCTATGACAACTCACGAGATCAAGGGACATACATCAAAATACAGTACTCACATAATTAAACGTAGCACATTAGCAAAAAGTACAGTTAACGACATATTGTAATAAAAATTGTAATAGAATAAACCACCACCTTTTTAATACTTGGACAAATAATATAGAAACATATTTGATTCTGACAGAATTTTTATCTGGTAATTAATATTATAATTATAAAAAAAGTGATTTATATGACGTCTTGTACAGGGTCAAGAGCACGTCAAGCTTGACACTTAACACTTAAATCCAACTCTATGCCGCTTAAGATAAGAACGGTCCAAAGTACAAAGTGTCAATATTGATGTGCTATTGACTGTACGAAAATGACCTAATTCTGCCCTTCTTGTCATAATTAAACGCATTTGCATTTTGGTTCCTTTCGAGACGTTGGCATCTAAGTTTATTTTCTTTGAAATATATCAATTACACTTATTTGCTTATACTCCGTCCAACCATTTATTTAACTTTTGACAGCTCGAGTTTTAATCAATTAATGATTTCGTAATGCGTTTCCGATTCGATTGTTCGTAACAATCGATTTTATTTATGAAGAAATTTTAATCTTGAAAGTGAGCGAGTGCAAAAAAGAAGATAAAATAGATAAAATAAACAATAAGAACTTATTATAATTATTTATAACTGATTTCATTTCATTACAATTTATTAGACAGATAAAATTTGTCAACTTGAATAATCTTCGTTTTATAATCTGTTGGCTCGATAAATATCGGAGCAAAAAGCACGTTGCTTCACTAAAATTAAAAAAGAAAAGAGTCCAGGAAGTAGTGCATTCTTGTGTCTGTGGTTGTATGTCAATAATTACGGAACTACGAGGCATGCCTATGTCAAAAATTAAATAAATGGTTGGATAGATTATAACAATAAAACTGACACTAAATAAGATGTAAAAACACCCTCTTTAAAAGAAGCGGCCTCTTTTCTCCACCGTTTACGTGGTAGCCGGAACAGCATATTGATACGCTCGTGAACCGGTTCGAGTCATAGGTGTAATTTAAATGAAGGCATTGTATAATTATTATATAATGTCATTTTGATGTAAATAAGTACCATAATTGCTAAGTCTTACTAAAAAATTATGTAAACTTTTTCTGAAATAAAATATTATTATTATTGAAGGGCTTGTAGATCTCGTTTCCCTGATTCCAGTCCCTGTACTCTCGTTCTCCATCCCGCATTCGTCCGGAACAATTACTGTCAAGTAAGTAAAACTCGACCAAATTAAAAAACACATGATGCGAATGAAGCTTCATACTTGATAATGTCTGTTAATTTAGTCGGGTATTACTTATGTGACAATAATTGTTTTATAGTAGCAGTGAAAGAGTTGACCAGGGAAGTACTTACCTTACCTATTAAGGGTGCTGGTGAAATTACAGGCACATGGGACTTGTCAACTTGTTCCTCTGAGATCATTGCAATTTAAAGCCCTGAGTGGCACTGCAAATGTTAGGGACAGACGTGTCGCTTTCCACCAGGCGCACGACTTGTTCGTCCCGTTACTTAGTAATATAAAAAAAAAAAAATTGTTTTGGACGGATGTCGGACAGAAAACGAGAGTAAGAACCCCAGATATATTAATAACTCACATTCGCTAAAAATGCCGATTACTTTCGTTATGATAAGGAGGGCCGAATCATTTAGGATTGGTTTTGAGCATTCCCCACTCACGACTAAGAAAAGGCTGAACTCATGGCGGTTAAACTACGTATGTATACACGTTGAAAATTCTGCCAGAAACAGACACAAAGAATGTGCCTCAGTAATAAGAGAATGACAACATCGATTGCTTATACCAAGAAGCAGCAAATATTAAGAAAAACTTTATTATTTTCCGTATTTTTGGAAAAACAAAATCTTTTATATTAAAATTTTGTGAAATTCAACAAAAGAATCGTTAAAGTGAACGAAAACAAGAAGTATTCAAACAGTCAATATGATTTCGTTATTTTAACATAACCATTCTGCACGTTTTAGCGCAGGCCACACCACGAGGGAAGCTAAGTTAGCTTTAGCTCACGTAGCCGCAGTATGTTTTCATACATCTGTTCACACCGCGAACTAAGCTACCTGAGCTAAGGTGGCATGGTTGGTTGCATGCAGTTACGTGAGCTCGCTTTTATGGCAAAAACGCAATTTAAACCCAATAGAAAGATCCGCAACAAGCACATAAGGAAATTTGTAAGATTTGCGGGCTCGATCCGTAGCCCAGTTAGCAGAGCGGTAGCCACGTTGAGGCAACAATCGCTGGTTCTAGTCCAGTCGGGTCGAAGGAACTTTTTTTTTGTGTTTGTTCGATCCTTGCGTCAATGGTTGACAAGGTCTTTAGAAAAAGTATGAATGTATATCCGCGGAGAAATAAATAAATGAAATAAATGTAAATAAATATCTTCATTCTGCTTAAAATAAAGAAATCGTATTGGTAGTTTAAAAACATTTTTCCACCTCTCCACTGTAATGGACAATGGAAGGACTATTTTAATCTTCAGTTTTAATCGAATTTATTGTGAGCTATATAGTTATACAAATTTGCTACATCTTGTATAAAAAAGGCCAATTATAAAAGGGGTGTATGCGACGAAAATTGAAAACAAATAAGACTAAATTAAAACTAAATAATGTTAAATACATACAAGTTGAACTAATGACTAAGAGACACATATAAGGTTAAAATACTTTTACTTGACAACTTAAGAGAGAATATTTAAGGAGAGGATACATTTCGGAATAATATAAACTTAATAAAAATATATGTAATGGAATAGTAGTGCGGAATACAACGGGGACATTCTCTTTTAAGTGGTAGACGATTAACTACTAAGTAAAAGATATGCGGACAAAACTTTACTCACAACTTGTATGTAGGATGTGGGTTGGTGGCAAGAGAACATAGTTTAAATTCATCTGGACATAATGGTATTTTAAAAATAAACGCATTAACAGCTTGTGGTGTTTTGGAGCTTTATTTTACACCTTCTGTACATGCTTTCACGTTATCAATATTTCCTTTACACAAGTAAATCAAAACATTTCAGTATTTTCTTTTGGAAGTAAGATGTTATGGGAACTAGGTATTACAACAAAATTAAAAAAAACTAAATTTAAATGTCGAGAATCTAGACCATTTCAGCACTTCAGAATTAAAAAGTTAAGTTAAAAGTAGCAGCGAATTCTATCACCGAAATGAACCGGTCAAATTAGTAATAAACGCGTGTCTTCCTTACGTCGGCAAAATCTTTGATAGTATCGATGGAGCTGCAACATTTTAAAACAGAAAAGGACCATTTTGTAACTAAACGATATTGTTGTCATTGTTACATAGGCTTACTTCAGGAAACCTCAATCTGACAACTGTCAGTAGGAATGAAGTATTCAAAGGGGCCAAAAGACACAATGAATCCGTCGGATTTAATTGGCAGGATTCAACTTGCAATGTCACACGAATGTGAAATGTGGTCACTGTAAAACTTATGTACCAGATGAACTTCGAAAAACCGTTCCAAATATCGATTGTGATATCAATCGAGTATATAACCAGAAATAGACACGAAATAAGGGCCATCCATCCCTGGCAACTCATCAGGTATATGGACCTTATATCACTTTTAAATATCAACTGTCGTTTGCGCTGAAATCACAAATTAGAAAACTGATAGTACAGCGCCAACAACTGACCTGTGTGTACGTCTCCGTATATTCCAAAAATATTCTGTATTTATTGTAATAAAGATAATATCTCTGACAATGGGGGCTGTTCCATTAGGGGATGTGGGAAAAACAGCAAAACATCTAATTACAAAACAAACAGATTCATATTTCATTGTTAATTAACACAGACATATATCTAGATATAATATGTCTGTGGTAATTAAATATTAAATGCATAATTTTGCAATTTTCGTCCGTAATAGCAAAGTTATAGTTAAACAGGTCGATTTGAAGTGAAACAATTGTCGACACCCGTCAATTGTTTCGAATTCGGGCTGGCCAATCGGAGCGCATTGTCAGTTATGTTTTAACAGAATAGCTTTCAAACAAATTAAATGACATTTCGTCTCTATTTCTGGTTATATACTCGATGGTGATATCATACTGAAGGGGTACAAAAATATTTGTTATTTTGTTGTTTATTGGAGAGCAACTGAATTAAAGAACCCTTGACACCAACCGTAAAAACTAAAAAGTGGGATTCAAACCAACACACTTCAAGCAATTCAGCGTCTAATCTCCCACTCACGATGAGGTCCTCCTCTCGGATCTTGTCAGAGTTCTTACTAGCAGCGCGGAACGTGTTAGCTATGAATTTCTGCTCCTCCCTAGTCAGTAGCGCACACTTTGCTGCTAGTTTTTTGCTTGTGTTGCCCATTCTGGAACATAACAATAATAATCAAATTGTTGACATGATATTATTGTCTACAGATAGTAATCGATACTTAGATATATTTATGACATGCTACATCATCATCATCATCAACCAATATAGACGTCCACTGCTGGGCACTGGTCTCCTCTCAAGCGAGGGTTTAGGCCGTAGTCCGCTTCCCTGGCACAATGCGGGTTGGCGATTTCACACGTTTTCCGAGGATTGTGAACCTCTTCGACGTGCAGGTTTCATCACGATGTTTTCCTTCAACGAAGAGCTCATGATAAATTTCAAATTAAATTTTGCACACAAATTCCATGGCCAATCACAGAACAGCAGCGTCCATGCGCGCAAGTCTCTCCGCAACGCAAAGCGGGTGACTCGTGAACGCCTTTGCGCGGAAGGCAGTTTTCTACGCCATGTACCCAGCCAACGCAACCAAGCGAAAAACGCAAGTGAAGGACTATTGAACCCGGCATTAACCTGCCTTCATTTTTCCTATTTCTCCGTCTTTTAGTCCTATATGTGGCGCCTCCCCAATCGCCTGTTACTTAGAGGTTCGTTCACAGCTTGTGCACGCCTGTTTTCATGTCGTGAGGTATTATCCTCATAGCTTTTTGTCATACTACTTATGTCCTGTAAGACAGTAAGAATATAATAATAAGAATAAATAATTCGAAATGAAAATCTTTTTTCGGATCTAATATCGCGTGCATTTGTTTTTTCAAACAAACCAAAGTTTCAGGCTTTTTACCCCATGATCACAGCAGACTGAGATGGTGTTAGTCATCAAACAGTTATGTCCAATTTTAATCACAAAGGGTAACTGACATACTCACTTTTACCTATTTCTGCCGCCAAGCAGTAATGTCAGCATTACTGTGTTCCGGTTTTCAATGGTAAGGGTGCTGGTGAAATTACAGGTACACGGGACTTGTTAATTATGTCTCAGGGTGACGGGCGCAGTGGTAATGCCCCTCAGATATTTGCAATTTAAAGCTCTGAGTGGCACTGTAACTGTTATGGAGAGGCATAGTGTAGCATACCATCAGGCGCACAACTTGTTCGTCTCGTCCATTGTTTACAAATATCAGTCGAACAAACGAAGACTAGAGCGTGAGTGACGCTCTGTATACGATTTTAACGCCCTATAAGTTCGGAGGCTTTTTAGTGCGGACCCGACGTCCATATAATTGTAAGTCAATGGTCTCGTCACTTGATGTTATAAAAAAAACATAGAATAGGGTCATTTGCATTGAAATTAGACATAACTATTTTATGACCAGCACCATCACCATCATTGGCGACATCGGTGGCCCAACGTTTTGCACTGTGAGTACTGGATGAGAAGGTCCTCGGGTTCGATTGTCGGTAGGATCAATTTAGGAAATAAGTTTTTCTTAACTGGGTGTTCTGAGAAGTGCTCAGAGTGAATTCCTTTGCTGTGGTACTCATAGTATAGAAAATTATTCTCTAGTTTGAGACTAGCGTCCTGATTTTGATTTAAATCGGAATCGAACCGATCGGGTAGTCTCGAAGTCAGATGGGTTTCCGAGCGAGAAGATGAACCTGATTCCTACTATACCTTTCTAATTTGTGAGTTAAATCAACTATTGTTCCGATTAGAAATGTCAAAGTTTCCGATCGGCCAGTTGGGAATCGCAATTATGCGCCTCGACTCGGAAAAAACGCAATTTCCGATCGGGAGAGGCAATCAAAATCAAGCTGCAGACAATTGGTGTGATTGTCTGGTACATTATTATTATCTCACTCAACCGTAACTATGGGACCTGAGAGTCTACTACCGTTCTCCGTCCGAAACAATTACTGTCAAATAAGTAATACTCGATCCAAAAGAAGGTTCATTTGCATCATGCGCATTGACCTACTAGGTCAAAGATCACGCGTCTTTTACTATTTTGACAGTATAATTGTTTCTGGTGGATGTAGGATGGAGAACGACAGTACAGGGCCAAGTAGTATTAATTATTCATAGACACATACAAATGTACCGTTTGGCATTAAAAAAGAAGAACGTCAGAATGTGATTATCGGTTTTTGTACCGTCGCTCTTTTCATTTTACCTCATTTATTATTCGACACGAATTTCATCGCGCTCACGCCGCGCAGCGATCGCGTGCTTCTAACTGTCAGGGCAAAATACGCTCTATTCATTTAGCTTTTACGTTTTAAATGAGCGTTCCGGGCGCGCGGGCGATGGTGGCTTGTCTTTGGTCTACGCGGCGACCGCGCGGTTGTATTATTCAGGGGAATTTAAATGTTAATGCCTAAAAAATAGAATTCAGATGTACGTGAAAGCGCGGTAACTGGCGCGTCGTGTAACTGGGCGCTAAGCCTTTATGGATAACAAATAAATCATACTTAATGAATAATGTCTTTACTATCAAACACATCAAATATTTACGACTATATCTAATCTAATCTAACCAACACTACTACTTTTGATTGTCTATTCTCAAATCTGCCGAGTGCCAGCTAAGAATATTCCTTTTTTTTAAGTTGTTTACACCTATCCACTTTTCTACATGTAAAAGCAAAGGGGAAATATCTGCCCTTCGCTAAGTAAGTAAATCGCGACTAAGTGCTAAAATATTTTTTTGAGATATCATAAAAAACCATAACCCAGTTTTAGAATACTGAAATTGTTTAATGATATTTTAGCTATGCATCGTTATGGTAAGTTCCGATAAGTCGAACACGTTAACTAATTTTAACTGTTTTTAAAAGATAATTTTGTACCCTATTTTTTGCTATTTAAAACGGATATTTGACCATTTTTCACTTAGCCGCGTTTTAGTTGGCGGATGGCAGAAATCTACAACCCACAGACAGGACAATGTTTACTTTTAATTTTAAAGGACTTACTCTTGCCCCACTATCTGGCCCTGTAGGGCTAGCACGGTAGACCGCGACTTACGCGAGAGCGACATAAAGCGCGAGATCTCTAAGCGAGAATAGCAGAATCTCGCGCAAGTCTCGTTCTGTCGTGCCTACTGGAGCAAAGATGGGATATGTTGGACTGGAGATAAGTTGGAATGACTTCGCCCAACAGATGCCTATAATTGTGACTTATTATAAGAACAAACTAATTGTAAAAAACCAAAGTCTCAAGTTAGTTTCAGCGGATCAAACTCTAAGGATGACACTATAAATAATTTTAAAATTGTTACCCTAAGCAATTGCCCATGTCACATGCATCTTTTTCTTGTCTTACAATACAAATCGGCAAACCTGGAACGTAATGCCTTTAAAAAGAATAATATGTGGTGGTTTTCCTAACACTTAGTTCAAACAAACACTTTTCAAAATTGTGTGATATCAATAAGCTGTGAGAAACTCACAGCATTTGCTATATTTAATCAATTTTATGCTTTCAATGATGCTGTTTATAAATAATTAATATTTCTACTTAAGTTGAGCATTTAACAATCAAGAACTCCTACAGATCCCTTGTAGAGACGTCAAACCTGTATTGGGTCATGGTGTTCATGACTGTGGTTGCACTTGCTATCATAATCCTCAGATGTTGAGTCATGGACCCTTTTGACACGCTTTTATTACTTCTTTTTATTTATTTTTTTGGTGGTATGAAGGAATATAATAATTTTTCTATAATTGTGTGCAATTTAGTTGAGTTGCATGTAAAATAAAGTTCATTTCAATTTATTTTTTATTATTTATTTAATGCAGAGAGAGGGTGGGAAAACAAACTACATGAAAAAATATAATCAAGACAAGTGCAGCTACTTTGAACTATTTAAGTATTTACTGGGTTCGTCGAGTAGCAAAGTAATTTAACGTTGCAGAAGCTTAGAATTGTAAAAACCACAGGCCATTGTTGCTTTTTTTTTGTTTAAGAGTAACCCTATTGTATTACTCGAATAATGTGTACGGCATCATTATGTACTTTAGTATCATTTAAATATGGTAAAAAAAAAAAATTAAAAGTGGGTTACACCACTTTTATGCTGATAGCCTCATCTGAAGTAAACTAACAGCCAGCAGGCTTGTTATTTCAAAAATCTTAATAATTGTCAGAGTGTGTATTCTTGACAAAAATTAGTGTGGGAAAATTCTTGATTTCTGTAATACTCAAAGTTGTGGAATTGAGAAAACACAATTTGAAATTTAAAAAGCTATACTGAATCAGTCCAATATTATTGACGTTTATAAATGGATAATTAAGTATTATGAATTAATAAAAATAATCACATTATTCGCAATAATTTTAAAGGATCAACTTAAGTGTAACTGCTACTCTCGTTTAGAGTACTCACGCTTTACGTCGCGCTAGAGCAAGTCGCACCCTGTCGTGCTAGCTCCACAGGGCTAGATAGTAGACAAGAGTAAATACTTTAAAATTAATAAAATAGCATTTTAAATATGTCTCAGTGTGACAGGCGCAGTGTCAGTGCTTCTCAGATATTTGCGATTTAAAACTCTGAGTGGCATTGTAACTAATATGGGCAGGCGTGTAGCTTACCATCGGGTGCAACAATTGTTTGTCCCACCACTTATAAAAATATTAATAAGATCCAGTAAATATTATTATTAGTTAATAAATAAATAAAATAAAAAAATAAATAAAATAAATTTAACTTTTAATTTTCAAACTGTTTTCTCAATTCCACATCTTTATGAACCGAAATATTGTCGTACAATATTTCGTTTCATAAGCGATTTCTCTGTTATATTGTGTGTGCTCAATGTCAGTCATGCTAATAACAATTGTATTTGTAAAGGCCATTAGAAAAGACGTATTGGGTGTAATGTGAAGCAATATAGTATTGTAGTAGGAAACCAAACGTGATAAACGTTTTCCTCTGACATTCGCACGTACTTATTTTAATGGCATTGAATAAGAAGAATCCCTGACCTTAGGTAAAGTTCTAAATGCATGAATAAACAGTAAAATTACTCACTAATCACGTAAAATAAATAAATATTGGAAGAAATCATGAAAAACCTCACCTCCTCACATG